TGAGGGTAGGGGCGGGCTGGGGAAGGAAGGGAAGGGGGGACATGGACTGACCCCCGCTGTGTCCTCTGCAGCCCGGCGGTGGCGGGAGACGACGGCGCTGGGGGCTGCGGGTGAGTGGGCTGTGGAGGTGGGGGAGCCGCCCGCCCCACCGCCGGCGCTCATCATCCGGGAGAGTGGCTGCAATGTAGGTGCACCTGGGCTGCGCAGGAGGACGGGGCGGGTGGGCAGGCGGGCGGCCCCCCGCTCACGCCTGTGCTTGCCGCAGCCCGTCTTCACGAGGCAGGACACGCTGCGCAGCTTCCAGTGGCGGATCCGCAACCTGCCCTACCCCGCGGAGGTGTACAGCGTCACGGTGGAGCAGCGCTGCTGCGTCGTCCGCACCACCAACAAGAAGTCAGTGAGCCTGGCGCGGAGGGGGCCTGGGGTCGTCCGTCCCCCCCATCCTGTGTCCTGCGCCGTCGCGCGGCTCGGCCGCGACAGGGAGGGGGGCGCTGGTGCCGCTGCATCATGGCACTAGCAGGGCAGCGCAGTGCGGATGGTCCCGGTACGGAGAGGTCCTCAGGGCCGACCCCGCTCAGGTCCACGGACAGGAGGGGACCCCCATGCCTCGTCCTTTCCCTGCTCAGTATCTCCTCCCGTAAGGCCTTGCCATCCCCAGGTCCCCCCCGGCGCCTGCCAGCAGTGCGGCAACTGCCCCTGGCCGAGGCCGTGCCAGCAGAGCTGCACGGACGGGGACCGGGCCAGGCTGCGGGGAACATGACAGAAGGGGAAGCGGTCAGGGGAGCAACACCTGTGGGAAAGGTGCCGGCCGTCAGGGCGCGGAGGGAAGGACATGCAAGAGGGATACAAGTGTGAAACTCCAGCACCTTCCATGCATGAAAAGGCCTGGTGACAAACGGGGGTATGAGCGGCTGCCACACCTGCCGGTGCTTTTCCTCCCCTCCCTGCACCTGCTGGAAGCCGGTCGAGACCCAGCGATGAGATTTCCTGGCCTCTTGGCCAGCAGGATCCTTGCAGCTGGCGGTAGGTGGAGCTGTTGGCAAAGAACTGCTACTCCTTTCCTCACTGAAAGGCGACAGGTCCCTGCAGGGCTCCGGGAGAGCAGGAAGCTGAGGCCCAGGGATGGACATGGTGTGTCCTTGGTCCCAGGATAGCAGCAGATGCTGGGGGTCATCTGCCCAGAGCCCCGGGGCCCAATGGGGTTTCACTTGCCTGCCAACTTGCAGCCTAACTCTGCCTACGACCCCTTCAACACTGTCCACTCCTGTGCCTGCTCCTCCCCACCCCCTGGCTCACCCGCTTGAGGGACATCCAGAGCATGGGACTCCCCTAGGCTCAGGGGTCTGCTCTCTAGGACCATCCTCACAAGCTCACGGGGCGTGTGCTCCAGTCTGAATGCATCTCTCTCAAGCCATGCAGGCTGCCAGCAAGAGCTTGGCACCGAGGACTTAGTGCCTGGCTCTGCTCGCGGCAGCCAGAGACCGGGGAGGTGCTGCAGCCCACCGCAGAGCCACTGGACGCAGTGAGAGTCCATCATGCGCTAAGCGGGCAGGATCTGGCCCCGAGTGCCTGGTGCTGCAGTCATGGCAGCCAGCAGTGGCAAGTGGGGGCACACGTGCCCCAGCCCTGCTTGGGACCAGCCCCAGCAGTGCTTGAAGCTCCTATCCTGGAGGCACTGGGAACTGCTGGGACCATCCCCACTGCAGCTCTGAGCACAGCTCATGACGGGAGCTGTGTCAGCCTTTTGCCAGGCTTGCGTTAGGCTCCCATCAGTTCCCCCCCCTCAATCTTATATGAAGCCTTCAAGGGATGAGAGATGTGGTTGATGCCACGGTCAGTCATGGAGCAGGCTGGAGCACTTCCCGTGACCGTGGTGCAGGAACTGGTATTGGCACCTAATGCCCAATTCTGTACCTGACTGAAGCAGGGAGCAGAATGAGGCCATCACTGCAGATCAGCTCACCTGGGTCTCATTCTGGGCCAGCCACCACTCAACTGGGAACGAGTTGACAGCCAAAGGAAAGACCCAAGGAAGGCGATGTGAGTATGGAAGAGAAGCAGAGACCCTGGGAGTTCAGCCAAGTCTGGGGATTTCTACCCCTTGCCTCTAGGTGGGGGCGCCTCTCGGCTGCCACCACAGCTGGGCAAGAAGTGCGACTGCAGGGGCAGGGGATGCAGTGCTTGGGGCTGGCGCTCTGCTCTGGAGGAGCTGGTGAAAGCAGCTTTTCAACCAGCAGGGTAGAAACAACTTGACCAAATGGCCCCTTCGCCAGCATGCAGGCACGGAGCAGACACCAGGGCACAGTTCTGCCCACAGCCACGGAGTGAGACACCAGGACAGCCAAACCCCTGTGGCCGAGCAAGGGCGGCTGCGCACTCCCAGCCCCTCGGGCCCCGGCAGAGGCTGCTCAAGTGGGATTTTCTTAAAGCCTCTCGTTGCAAAATAAATCCATTAAAGTAAACTGGGAAAACAAGCTGGCGAAGCGGCCTCCCAAGTGCCGAGCCCGGGCCCATTCTTGCGGGAGAGGCAGCGGTCGTGTTACAGGGCTGGGGGGCGGCTGGCAGATCTGGTTTCCTTTGATCTTGTCACAGAGCAGAGCCATTCTTCTCTCTGCCCCTCAGTCCTGGGGCGGCAGAAGGCTGCCGTTCCCATTGACGGCTCCCAGGGCCTCCCTGCGTCCTGCCTCTCGGGCTTTCTTTTTTTTTGTCTGGCTGGTAAGAAGTTAACACTTCCTCGATGTGTCTTTGTGCTCATCTAATCTCTGCTGTTTAACCTCTGACATCTCCCTCATTATCCGTGCCTGCCACCTTTCCCGCAGCCTGGCAGTGGTGACGACTCGCGGCGGCCCAAGCCCTGCGGCCACAGGCAGCTCGCATTCCTCCCGTCACATCCAGGCTCACCGAAGACAGACCTGCCGTGGTTCGGGCAGGGGTAGCCAGATGCGGCTGGCGACACTGGCTCCAGGCAGAGTTGCTCCTTGCACTGCTGTGCTGAGAGGGAAGGAGCCCTGTGCTCTGCGTGGGGGGCCCTGGAGCCCACCCCGAAAGAGAGAGCCCCCTGCTCCATGCAGGGTACCCTGGTCCGGATGCACATCAGATCCCCTGCAGGGAACAGCACAGCCTGCAAAGGGGGCTGTGGGGTTGAACGCTTAGGGGAGCGGAGCCCTCAGGCTGGGAAGGGGATGGGGAGGGATCCATGGAGGTAGGGCCCAGGCCCTGGCATCCATGGGCCATGGTTAACCAAGCGAAAATAAGTGAGTGGCCAAGACCGTAGCCACAGGCGGCAGCCGGGAGCTGAGGCAAGGTGAAACCCCCCCAG